GGCGTTGTCTCCGCAAGACGCCAAGCTCCCGTCGGCCAGGAGCAGCAGCGTGTGCCGCTCCCCGCAAGCCACCAGGGCCACTTCTTGCCCGCCAACCGCTGGCGGATTGCAACGGAGAGGAACCGGCTGGGAAGCCCCTTCCTCGCCCGAGCCCAGCTGCCCGTAGGAGCCGTCGCCCCAACCGAAGAGCATGGCGCGTTTGGATCCTTGGTCTCTGGCTCTTTCACCCCGAGGTTTCTCCCAGCGCGGAGTTCAGTCCTCCTCCTCACTGGGTATCACTTTGAACTGCTCAGCTTTGGTGTAAAAAAACAAACAAACCCCAAAGCCCACCTACGCTGCCTTCTTTGACCAGCCCCGCCCAGTTGTTCCAGACCCTTCCCAGTCCTGGATGCGCTGCAGACAAAAGAATCAAAGAAGGGGGGAGAAAAAAAGGGGGGGATTGGAGAGCAAAAGAAAGAAATCTAGGAAGGGAGGCTTCCTCTGATCAGGCCTGGCTCTGGAAAGTTGCAGGCTGGTATCTTAAAAATTAAAAAGGGTAGTTGGAAGTCTATGGAGATTCTCCGCCATTCAGGCCCTGGTTGTCCCAAATGTGTTCCCCCCCCCCCCAATAAAGTTTTTTTTATTTTATAACACAGAAAAATTCCATTTTCAGTGAAACTCTGTTATCTGGGTACAAATAGTTTTAGGAAACCATAAAAGTGTTTACAACAATGCTCATGACATTGGTATTAGTTCTATAGTGATGATGATAATGATAATAATATAATATTTGCTCATCCAGTTTAATAATGGATAATGATATCCTTGTATCATTAGTCCTTTACTTATATTTCCATGTTTTTAACTTCTGTTTTTACTAGCTAACTATTGATAAAATAAATCCCATGTCAAAAAGTATTCAGTTTCTTTTTTCTTAATTGTGTTAATCTATCCATTTCTGCACATTCTAATTTTTTAAAAATCACATTTTCATCTGTAGGGATCTCTTCACTTTCCCCTTGTTTTGTAAATATAATTCTGGCTGCAGTTAATACAGGTAAAATCAAATATGTATTCCCCTCCTTATACTTATTCGGTAAAAGGCCAACAAAAATATGTCTGGTTTTAAATCTATATGTCACTTTATCATTTTTTTCCAACCATGTATGTATTTTTGTCCAATATTATTTTGCTTTTGGGCATGTCCACCACATATGATAATATGCACCAGGTATCTGATGACATTTCCAACATTTAGCGGACATGTCCTTAAATGTTTTTGCCAATCTTGAGGGTGAAAAGTGCCATCTATAAAACATTTTATAAAGATTTTCTGTATATGCAGTTGACATCGTTAATTTATAATTCCTATTCCACAATTTCTGCCATTTATCTAACTCTATTGTATAACCAAAAATTTAAGCCCACACTATTGTCTCCTTTACTTGCTCAACTTCCCATTTTAATACTTAGTAGATAGCGCTATATTTTCTTCATTAGTTTTTCATCCATCCCTGTTAATATCTGATCTAATTCTGTTAATTCTTTATTTTTTTTAAAAAACATACATTTTAGCTTTTTTCAGGAGGCAACTGGACTTTCTAGTTTTTCTTAGAAGATGTTTCGCTTCTCATCCAAGAATCTTCTTCAGCTCTGATTGAATGGTAGAGAATGGAAGGATTTCTATTCAGGATGAATCTGTGCTGTCTGCATTTCGAACTGAAGCGCAAATGGTTCCTGTAATTTGACTCCTTCCCAGACTCACAGACTCACCCCCAACAACCTGTCTTCCGCAGTGAAGGGACACAGGGCAGAAAACATCCTGCAGCCCAGAAGGCTCCAAACTCATTTGCACTACTCAGGTGGGTTCCACCACAAATGCGCGAACGACAAAAGCGCGCCTGACTAAACCGCGGTGACAAAACCACGCCGACAAAACCGCGCCGACGAATGAGCGCTGAAGCGCGCCGACAGAAGCGTGCTCTAACCCTAACCCGAAACCAAACCCTAAACCTAACCCGAAACCTAACCCTAAACCTAACTCTAAACCTTACCTTAACTTAAATCGCGCTTCTGTCGGCGCGCTTCAGCGCTCATTCGTCGGCGCGGTTTTGTCGGCGTAGTTTTGTCAGCGCGGTTTAGTCAGGCGCGCTTTTGTCGTTCGCGCATTTGTGGTGGAACCCTTCTA